CCCCAAAACCCCAAAACCCCAAAACCCCAAAACCCCTTGAGGACTCGATTAATAGATAAGGAGAAAATTTTAAAGATAAATAAGTAATAAATAAATAACAAATGAACTTTAATAGTAACTCTATTGTACTAGAAAATAAGAGCGATCTCTTATCCCAAAAGGTAAGATATTTGTACCAAGACGTTGTTTAACATATGGCCATAGGTATCTGATGAATTCAACACTTTTCCAAATTCACAAGATATTGACTACCAGGAGTTCTTTCAAGCAGATCTGCCAGGCTCATATGGTGTAAACTCACTAAACGTATTCAACAACGTTCAAGATGTTGAGGAGGGCTTCAGCTTCTTTGAGGGTGATAATGACTCATTGAGCCCTAAAATTGCTAGTAGCAAGGCTGAGCACTTGAATTCTTCGGAAAATATTTTCAAATTCTGTAATAAGATCGAGAATAGTATGATTGGTGAACTCGGATTAATCGGCGTAACTCAATCTAGCAAGGAACAACCTATGCAATTCGGAGACATTAATTTGGACACTTGCCAAGCTGACTGTGATTTTGACAATAATAACAACCTTGAGGAAGCCCCAAAGAAACTAGTCACCAAACCTGAGATGACACCCAAAAAATCGAATCCGAGAAAATGAAAGGCAGTTAGGAGAGATGTTATTAACAAGACAATTTTTAGAATTATTCGCAGATACTATCACAAAATTCTCGAAAAAGTTATTCCTGACTACAAAGAACAGAAAAAGAATGACCTTGTCAAGTTATTGGAGAAGTTCTCTGACCTGATTTTCCCAGAGGTAGATAATTCCAATGAGATGGCAAAGGTAATGAGTGCCTTGATGTTCAGAAGGGAAGCACTACTTTCCAAAAAGGATGTTTACCATAAGCCAAAGCTGAGAGTATTTCTTGACATCCAGAGCAAGTACTCTCATAAACTCTTGTCCCCTGTTCTCAAGAACAGATATTTCAGAATGATGTTCGAAATGTTTCTTCAGAATGGAAGCGAATTTTTCATAAGTGATGAAAATGTTGCTTCAAATTTCAAGGTATACCACCAGGAGCTTGAGAAGATCAAAGACCTCTTCTTCTCCATGGAAAAGAGCCACTTCTAAGTGCAACAGTGCTAGTTGCCGCCCCTATTTATATTTTTAGAAGATAGAAGTTTGGTTTTCACTTGGTGGAAACTTTCTTCGATTCTTATCTAATTATTTGTAACTAACAATTAGAGTAACTTATTCTAGTGTTCATGTATCAAAATCGAGCTGGGGTTTTGGGGTTTTGGGGTTTTGGGGTTTTGGGGTTTTGTTGGGTGGAAAGTTCGGGTGGGTGAGGTAGGG